GAGGCATGCTGACCAGTTGGGCAGTGATTGCATCTGGGGCCTCGGGAAACACGGTCACTGGTGAAGTGCTCGAGCTGACAAATGCAGAGTTCCTTTTACCGGAGCAAGTTGGGATTGAGATAGACGATAAAGTAGCCTGTCCCGGATGAAGAAGCGTCCGCCGTGGCAGAGCTGGATGTTCGTGAAGAGGTAGGGGGCTCTCGACGAGGCGAAGATCAGAGCCTGTCAACCCACTTGTGCCGTTTACAAGGCCAGGAAGGAATGCCGCCGCATAGGAACCAGACCCAAAGGAAGGAGAAGAGGGAGATAGAAGGCTGGTAGCGCCAGATGGTTGCAGTAGGTCCTTGAAAAGACGCCTCATAGCTACCGCCACAGCGGCTTGCTGGCCGAGTGCGGCTAGACTACCACTTAGACTACCCTCAATTTGTGCCTCATTGCAGCCACCGCTGTTCCCACCCGCCACGTGTGTGTTGTAAACCACACCGCAGCTACGGTGATCAGAATTATGGTCAGCATAAGTGGATGCTCCAGCCACGGTTGTCATGACGTTCGGCTGTTTTCTATTCAATAGTGAACCAGTCTGTGTAATTGGTGGATGCATAGACTCGCTTCGCTCGGCCTCCACAACAGTTGACTCATGAGCAGTTGATGAGGCGGAGACGACCGTTGGTACAGAAGTGGTGATAAGCGTAAAGCAGGGGCTGGGTGTAACACTGGGTGATCGCACACCAGAAAGAGACTTGTATTTGTGCGAGCTGACAGTTGCGGGATAGGCCAGAGAGAAAGCTGGGCAAGGAGCGAAAGAGAAAGAGCCATGATAGATGCGACAGATGTAATCGGAGTATAAAAGGCCTACATTAATTGCGAAATATATGTTCCTCTTTTAATCGGGAGTCTTGATGCAAAAATTACATAGTACAAAAATGCATATGGTATAAAGTTGTTTATAGAAAATCTATTAGAGTAGGGTTTCCAGACTACCAGTAAATCAGTGTAATGAGATGTATTCACCCTATTTCGTGTAAGGTGAT